AAAGAATCCCTAGACCCTTAGCAAGAAAGAGATAGCTAACAAAGCAAAAAGACGATGAGCAACTTTTGTTTTTCTAGAAAAACCTAGCACTGAAAATGGAAAACAAAATACACCGACAAAAAAACCATCAACCGAAAATACAAAACGTCTGCACATAATGAGAGAAAAAACCCTACTTCAATAGTGGTAGATCTTTGGATGCAACATTGGTTGCAACCATCTCCATAACATTTCATGGGGTGGTGTTAAGAGATGCCCCTGTTAATTGGGAGTCATTCCATTCAATTTCCTAATAAAAAAGGAAACCGATTTTGTTGTAAACAACCTATGTTTAAATATATTAAAAAAAAAACTACAAAATTCTAAAGGGATTGGAAAGCAAAAAAGAGAGTAAGATGATGTGGACAACTACATTAAATATAAAGGTGGGGTTACAACTTGGGTGAGACCAACCTAATACAACCCAATTGGGTTTAGCGTTATTAAGTTTTAGCTAACTTTTATTATTTTATAATAGTTTTTTTATTTATATTATTTTAGTCGATTTTAAATTAAACATTTATAAGATATATTTATTATAATTAATGATAATTTATTTTTATATTATTATTTATATTTTTTAATGAGATTAACTTATATGAAATTAGTAAAATCTAATTTTGAAACAAATAATTCTTACAATTTCAATAGTTTCTAATAATTCACCCATAACTAAAAATAATTTACTATTAGTTATTACAAATAATATAATGATAATTGTTGTTGTAAATTCACCCATGACCGATGGGCATGTCAGCCAAAACCCGAACCCGATCCAAACCCGATCGGGTTGAATAACCAAAATCCTAACCCAATCCTAAAATCAAATATATTGACCCTAACCCAACCCTATAGGGTTGGGTCAAGCCGGATTTATCATTTAATCCGACCCATTGACATCCCTAGTTCTAAGGATCATTTTAGATTTCGAGTTATGAAAATGGTTAGAATTGGTTATTTTCTAACCCCAAAATTCATTTTAAGACTTGATGCTTTGGAGTTAAAATAATTACCTTCAAAAATAATCATTTTTATGATTTTTTGGGGTAAAATTTTAACCAACATTGTCTGAGTGCATTTTGGATTGTAAATCTTTCACTTCCCTTTCCAAAACATTTTTTTTTGTAAATCCTTTTCTAAACAATGTCAAGGAAATTCAACCTCTTACATTCATCATTACATTCTTATTTACAATGCGGTTAGGAGGCATTAAGCATTCATCATTACTTTTACACGGCATTCAAATGAAGCCTAAATGTATTGCATATGATGATATGGAGTAGGGTGAGATGGGTTCGGTATCCCCTGGGCCAAATGGGTTGGGTTTGGATCGAGGCAAACTTGTATTGGGCCCGATAGTTGGCATCCATAATCAGCCCATGCCTTTTTAATTAGAGATGCAAATGAATCAGATTAAAGGTGTAAATTAGGCCGGGCTGCCTGTTGCACGATTTTGGACCGGCCTGGCTCAGCACGGCACGACAGCTCAAGGGCCGTGCTAGGCCCGACACGATAGGGTATGATCAAGCGGGACGTGCCATTCGTGGCCCGCGTGCTGGCACGACCCATATATACTATTTATATATATAATATTTAATATATTATATAAATTATAATATATAATAATATATAGTATATAGTATATTAATAAAATAAACATTTTTTCAAATTTTTAAATAAATAGGCAAAAATAACTTTGGCCCAGTCCATGGCCCGACTTGGGCCAAGGCTTGGCCCACGGGCCAGCCTGGCCCGCTAGGGGTGTCCACGGTTCGGTTAACCAAACCATGGCCCCTTTTTGTAAATCGAACCGGTGGTACCGGTCTTTTCATTTTGCCAAACCGAAATCGAACCAGTACCATCGGTTAACCGGTTTATCGGTTCGGTTCTTCGATTTTTTGGTTTTTTATATTTATAATATACATTATATAAATATATGTATAATATTATATTATAAATAATAAATGATATATAATATATTATAAATATTTTAAAAATATATAATATATTTGTAAATAGATCATTATAAATATAATAAAAGTATATATTTATATAAAATACATAGAAAATATGTGACGTATATTAAAAATATATATAAAATATACATATAAATATATATACCGGTCGGTTCGGTTAACCATCGATTTTTTTATAGGTTAATCGAAAACCGAACTGGTCCTTCGGTTTTTCAAAAATTCCAAACCGACTGGTTCTGTTAACTGCATTTTGCGATTTGGTTTTCTCGGTTCGGTTTTTCATGGACAACCCTATGGCTCGCGGCACGGCATGGCACGACTCACCATGCCATGCCAACCCCCTAAATTTTCATCGGGGAGGGCCGCACGACCTGTGACGGCCCACACTTTGCGCGAGTGGCAGAGCACGCTTTACACCTCTACATCAGATCAGCTTCAAATAAGGGTATATCTGAATAGATCCATAAACTAGATTCAATCCAATCAGATCTCATAAATATCTATTAGAATTTGAACCCAATAAGGATGTTGGATATCCAAATTTGGTTCAACCCGATTTAATTTATTAAAAATTTAAAAAATTAATAAATGAAAAAAATATAACAATTTAAATAAAAATAAAAAAATACAAGTATTTTTCAATTATTTTCATCATATATATACTTATTTGTTAAAAAATAAATGAAATAAAAATTACAAAAATACAATACAGATAACATATTTGTAAATAAAAAATAACATAGATACATATATATCAGATTGAATCCATCTCCGATAGGGGGTCATCCGAATTTGATCCAATTCTTAATCCTACTAATATGAGAAAATCCGAATTGAGGTTATCTGGGTCGGACAAAATCGGACGGGCTTCAGATAAGACCCAACCCGATCCATTTGCACCCTCTCAATTCTCATTCTCATGGCTTATAATGGGCAAGTGAGAGGTGAGTTACGTCACATGTTAACACAGTATGTGTTTGGTTCTGTGGCGTTTGTGGATGAGTTGACCATATATTTGTATTTTTTCACTTTAAATGTTTATTTATATTTTTTCACTTTAAACGTTTATTGTTTTTATTATTTGGTTGGACATTAATTTAATCATTTTTTACTTTTTACCTCAGATTAATACCCATTAAAGTGTGCCACATCAACATGGTTTTAAGCAACACTCAGGCATTGGGGGAACAAGAATTTGACACTTCCCAAATGCCCCATGCACAAAAATCAAAACATTTTAGTTTTCTATCATTTGGTAAATAGTGAAACCAAATAATTGTTTCATATGCAATAAATGTCGATGCCTATGTGGTGGCATTTTTTCAATAAACTCCCACATAACGAAGCATAGCCATTCTTTGGGTTTGCCCGTCTGGGTGTACCTGAGTTACACATTTTGTTTTCTTCTGACCCTGGTTCATCCATTTGGTATGTGTTTGGTTTCATGGGCGTTTATGGATTTGATGTTTATTTGCACTTTTTTTTCACTTTAAATGTTTCTTATTTTTGTTGTTTGGTTGAACTTCACTTTAAAACCTCATATTAATACCCAATAATGTGTTCCACATTACCATTTGGTTTCAAGAAACACTGAGGCATTGGGGGAAACAAGAATTTGACATTTCCCAAATGCCTATACATAAAAATTAAGAGGGTGTTTGGTTCCATTTACATTTATTGAGTAAACGTTTTGTACTTGTGTGACTGCAAAACCAAGAAAAACAATTAATGAGGGCGTTTATGACACATAAGCGCCATTAGGCACCACATCAACAAAATGCCAATAAATGCCTACCCGTTTTAGGAAGGTCCAAAATGAAGCTTCCTGAAACTAGAGAAACACATAGAAACCGAAGTTTGCTTTTGCAAAATTCGATACACACAAATGCAATTAATGAGGCACCATCCATAAATGTTTATTTAATAAATGTAAACGGAACCAAAAATATATTAAAACTTTCAATTTTCTACCATTTATTTGATAAATGGTGAAACTAAGTGTATGTTTGGCTCCGTTTACATTTATTGAGTAAACGTTTATGGATGGTGCCACATAGGCGCCCCGTTAGCAAATGCCTCATTAATTGCATTTGTGTGTATCAATGTTTACAAATCTGTGCGCCTCTCCCATTTTAAGAAACTTCACTTTGGAACTTCTTGAAATGGGTAGGTGTTTATTGGCATTTTGCTAATGTGGTGCCTAATGGCACCTATGTGTCATAAATGCCCTCATTAATTGTTTTTATGGGTTTTACAGTCATACAAGTATAAAATGTTACTCAATAAATATAAACGGAACAAAACAGCGTGAGTACTTTTTGGGACTGATTTTCAAGAAAAAACGCCCATATTTTCAAGACCCATTTTTCACAAAAAAACGCTTTTGCCACATAGGCAGTGAGCAACATTATGCTATTTGGTAAAGTGATTTTTATCACCGTTTTTCATGTATGTACTGATAAATAAACACCACATAGAATACACGTCAATCAACCATCGGGGAAAACAGTTCATTGATGCATGAAACGCCATGAGTGAGGTCCCAATTTTTGAGGCATGTCTAATCGGCTGAAAAAAAAATGAGATACATGGGCGTTTGTTGAAACGCCTATATAGATCCGACGTGGCACCGTTGTTTTGAAAAACGGCACGGTTCCCCTAAATAATTGTTTCATTTTGCTTCATCTCAGATAAACACCAACGCCTATGGCGCTGATGTGGCGGCGTTAACCAAACATACACTTGGTCTCTCTTCTAATTTAAAGTTTAATGTTAACAGCCGCGAAACTTGAAAGGCGCTATTTTAAAACTCGTACCCAGAAATTTCCTTTTCTTCTACTATTCCCGCTAACCACGATTTAATCCTTACCGCCCATTTCTACTTTTCCTCATCGACGGTTCATTCCCCTCGATCCGTGTCGAAGAAAGGCAGCCAATCACATCTTGCGTCCTAATCTCTATATAAATAAACGTCCTCTCTCACTCCGAAATCAACAAAATCGAAGAAGTTTGTTGCATACCCCGAAGCCCCGTAGAACTCCATTATCCTCTAAAAGCCTTTTTTCAGACATTCCAATGGCGCCCAAGGCAGAGAAGAAGCCCGCAGAGAAGAAGCCAGCAGAGGAGAAGAAGGCCGAGAAGGCTCCAGTTGCAGAGAAGAAACCCAAGGCAGAGAAGAAGCTTCCCAAGGACGCTTCCGCACCGGACAAGAAGAAGAAGCGAACCAAGAAGAGCTCTGAGACCTACAAGATCTACATCTTCAAGGTCCTGAAGCAGGTTCACCCCGATATCGGTRTCTCGAGCAAGGCTATGGGAATTATGAACAGCTTCATCAACGATATCTTTGAGAAGCTTGCTCAGGAGGCTTCCAGGCTTGCTAGGTATAACAAGAAGCCGACCATAACCTCTCGGGAAATTCAGACCGCCGTCCGCCTGGTCTTGCCTGGAGAGCTTGCGAAGCACGCTGTATCTGAAGGAACCAAGGCTGTTACTAAGTTTACAAGTTCTTAAGTTTTCATAGATTAGGTTATTTTCTCTGATTGTGTACCTTGGATCTATTGGTTGTTTCGTGTTGCTGTTAGGGTTTTTTGAATGTAAAGATTGGATACTTTCTTTATGTGTAATTTGTGAGCCCAATGAACCCAAGAGCTCTGTCAATGAAAAAGCGCCAATTTTTCACTTGCAATTGCTCTGTTCCATGTGTTTTCTGCACTTGTTTTTGTTTATTAGTTCTTGGTTTTTATGATCAAAATTCTAGGTGATTTGTAGTTGGTCTTGTCGATTAGTTTTGATGTGATTGATGCTGATTTCAATTAGGTTTCTTAACGTAGATTAATGTGATACGATGATAAATCTGGAATCACCAGTCTTTTACCATTTTTCTGTTTCCTAATACTGGAGCAAGTTAGTAAATGTCAGCTTCTAAATTCTATTGTGCACGTGGGGTGTTTATTATAGGGGTTAGTCTAATAATGTCCCTCACTGGTGATTACTCGTCTTATCCTTCGACCATTCAGTCATTACATAATCCCTGGCTTTTCTCTGGTGCCACTGCAGATGGCGCTCAACAACTCTATGCGCTTTAGCTCTTTCTCTGCTCCCAGAAAACCTCGAATTCCATGTTTTAGAAGTGCAGGTTTCGGTTTATTTTCGTCTGCGCGTAATACCCGTAAATTTTCTGTTAGCATTCTTGCAGATTCCACACCGAAAGCACGGTTTGTTGCGAGGCGGTCTGAATCAGTTTCTGTTCAGCAACTCGAACGTCCACTGAGTTAGTAATTATTGCGGATATGGCGAAAGGAAGCAGAGGGGTAAAGGTGGGTTTTCACTGATCTAAGTTTTTGTTTTCTATTTTTGTTGGTTGCAGGGGAGTATATGAGCTTGCCTGCAAGCCAGTATTCTGTGTTGGATGCTGAGCGGATTGAACGGGTTGATGACAACACCTTTCGCTGTTACGTGTACCGGATCAAATTCTTTTCTTTTGAAGTCTGTCCTGTCCTGCTTGTTAGAGTTGAAGAGCAACCTAATGGCTGCTGCATTAGACTCTTGTCCTGCAAGGTATCTTATTCATTTGCTCTTTGTTTCTCTGTTTCTTTCTCACTCTCTCTGTTCTGTCCCTCCTGCTGTCAAGAAAGAATGAGCAAATAAAATGAAATAATCTTTTTTTTTGTCGTATTTGATTGTATCGTGATTATTTGTTTATTGTGGCTGGTTATAGTTGGAAGGTTCACCAATCGTGGTTGCACAAAACGAGAAATTTCATGGTACGAAATTCCCTTCCTCTGTTCTGCGGGACAAAGTAATTAATTGCAACCCTGAAGCCTACCTACTACTTTTGGTTGAATAAGTGGATCTAAGTTAGTAACTGCTAGGCACTGGGTAGAGATAATGATACTATTCTTGGTAAACTCTTCTTGGTATGCTTGATTCTTTTGACAAATGTAGTGGTATATTTTTTTTCTCAGTTGGCTAAAGTTATCTGCAATTGAATATAAGAAATTGAATGTATAGGCAGCAAACATGGGGTTTTTTCTTTGGAGCTTTTAAGATTTAGGATTGTCACTTGGTTATTTTTTTTTCCTTTCTTGAGCAAAGGGTGCAATATTGTATTTATATTGAAGTGGGAACGCCATGTACAGAAAAAAGAATGTAGTGAGTAATTAGACTAAACAAATTGATTCAGCCCAAAAAAGGGGGCTTAGACATATCCCTCGAGAAAATAAAATTTCAAACTCAAAATATGCACGGCATGAAATGTCCTTGAATTTCTCCTGCATGGCCAAGGGTGAATTGCACCCATTTCTCTTCTTAATTCTAATTAACTCCTCTGAAGAACAATTCTCATCTTCAAATATTCTGAGATATCTCTCCCTCTAGATGCATCAAGTCACAACTGCTGGGATTGTACTCCATAGATTTCTCTCTCTGCTGTTGAGTTCTCCAGATTTCCAACCCAACAAATGTTCCTGTAAAGACCTTGTCAGGCACTAGCTGAAGGTTAGAATTCTGCACAAGTGTTCATCTTAGCAGTGGAACAAACAATTGAGGAATAAGTGATCTATTGTTTCCCTTTCCTACCCACAGAATACACAGCTTAGTGACCCCTTCTCTCCAGACCATCTCTGGTGAGACTTTTTCCCAACATTGCAGTCTAGAGTAGGAATCCCTCTTTCGATGGGATATGTGGGACCCAATTTCTTTGTATGGAAAGTTTGCCCACGTTATTACTTCTCATCTATTAGATATGCATGCCTCTAGGACCCAATATTGCATGTAAACTGCTTTATCATGAATAAAAAGTTTAGTTTCTTATACAGTTACTTGTGCCAATGGGTATATTTTTGTGAGTTGTCCTTGATGTAGATTTTAGGATTATGTTAATCATGAGGATGGTTTAAGACCATCATAATTAGTAGGCTAACTGTTCTCAACCTGTGAATAGACTGGGGTAGTTTATGTTGGCAATTTTGACAGACTTATGCTGCCCTAAGGGAAGGAGCAGTTTGTCTCAACTGCTAGGGTTAATACCAAGTAGACCTGTTCATGGGTTGGGTAACCTAATGGTCCAGGCTGGGCCATCATGGGTTGAGCTTGGATATGATTTTAGGCCAGTAGGCTCGGGCTTGGGTCCAAAACTCTAGGCTTGAGCTTGAGCCCAAGCCATTGCGAGATCTTTCAATATTTTTGGGTTTTGAGGTTGTTTAAATAATAAAATAAAGGGAAATTGTCTAAAACTCACCATGAGTTTTCAGCATTTCTCTTAAACTCACCAGTCTTTCAAAACGTCTAAAACTCACCATGTCAGTAAGTTTTTATTTTCCAAAACTCACCTTCTGTTAGTGCACCGTTAATGTTTCTTAACAGAGGTGTACACATCAGCATAAATAACAATTTTTATGACCAAATCACCCTTGAATGGTGAGTTAAAGGAAAAAGGGTCTTGTTAAAATTTCAATTTTATTTTATTTTTTTTAAATTTTAGTGTATTGTTCAAATTTATAATGCTTTTTATAATTTCTGTTTTTTTTACATATTTCTATTTTCTACAATCTATAAAATTTCCTGTATTTTTTGTTATTTATTTGTAATTTCTGTGTTTTTCTATAATTTTTGGTGTTTTTTCTACAATTTTTATTTTCTGATTTTTTTTTTCAATTCCTGTAGTTTCTATAATTTGAAAATAAATTTTTATTTTGTGTACAATTTCTATAATTTTTTATATTTTTTGCAATTTCTTTTTTTATGTATTTTATATTTGAAAATATTTTTTGAACTTTTTCCTTTTTTTCATATCTAAATATTAAAATATATGTATATTTTATATTTTTCTATGAAGGTTAAAATAGTAATATATTAACAGCCGTTAGTCTCTTTAACATCAAGTTAGTGACATGGTGAGTTTTAGACATTTTGAAAAGTTGTGGTGAGTTTAACAGAAATGCTGAAAACTCATGGTGAGTTTTTGACAATTTCCCTAAAATAAATCAGTTTTGTTGTTGAGTAAAAAGAAAGCTTCTTGCCCAATTTATAGGCTGGAATTCGGGCTTTATATGTGGGCCAGGATCAGGTCTAAATGTATTCTGTTTATAAAGAGGCAAAGCCCAACTTGAACCCGGCCTGTGAATAGGTCTAGACCCAAGGTATGTTGGTGCTTAAGAAACACTGAATTCGACTAATTCTAGATGGTTCCTGGATTTTATGATTGGTGGCGCATCTAGATTGTTGCACATGATCCTCATACTTGATGGTGGTAGTCTACTGAATTCCATACTTATTTGTTGCCAACTGGTGAGGTCCTTTCGTGGTCAATATCTGGGTATGTTGGTGCAGATAAGAATGGGAATTTGGGGTAATTGATCATTGTGATAGTGATCTGGAATTGTTTTAAAGTTGATTTGGAATTGTTTTTGCAAAATGTATTTAGTATGTAGTAAATAGTTTATTTAGAAAATAAACTATAAACTATTTATTTTCTAAATGGATTTGCAAAATGGTTTTTCTCGGGATTCGATCATGGCATAAGACACAACATTGATTTTCTTAGAGTGGGGAACATGTCTTTCCATTGTTCTCAGTACTGGGTATTAATGGTAGAAGGATTATGTTGTAAGTGTTTATTAGGCCCAAAATTTGTGTTTCCAGTTGCATTTAAACTTTCATCAACTTCTTGAAGAAAGGCCCAACTGAGAATTTGCCTGAGCTGTCCCACCTCTATAACCTTTAATTCCTCTCACCTGGCCATGAAGTTGTGTTTTTGAGTAATCTGATTAAAGCAGCCAGATCCTGTCTCCCAATCATTCAGATTTTCTTTCTAAAGGAAGGACACCATGTCACTGCACCCCCAATACTCATATAAATTTTCTACCTTTGCTACCCTATTATCAGCTAGGATGATAGGTGAAGGGAACATATCCATCAGAGCCCTGTTATCACACCAGATGTCTTTCCAGAAATTTATTCTGTCCCCTGCCCCTAGGTCCCCTACTTTCTATTTAATCCATTGGAGCTGCAGTGGAATCTTCCCAAACCTCTCCATGCCCCTGGCTACTTTGGACTTACAAATATGTCCCCAATCCATTAGGTTTATTCATGCTCCTTGCTCCAACCTCTCCACAAGAGGCATCTCTGTGATTTCTCTGATGTCTCTGCCATCCCAGCTGGCATGGGGAATAGGGACATGAAGAAATTAGGAAACTGAGATAAGGTGTTCTTTAGCAAAGTTGCTTTTGCTCTTGTTGAGAGATAATTAGAATTTTAGATTTCCATGAGGCTAGCTTCCTTTCCATTCATTAACACACTGGGTTCCAAATAGCTTTAGTGGTACATTTGGCTCTATGTGGGAGTCCCACCCTACACTGAGGATAGCGGTCAGCTCATCAATGTTTGGCACCTTCCCCACAGGTATGATTTCTCTTGCTTTAGAGGTATGCAAATGATAAGAAAGGGGCACTTGTAGTTTAAGATCAGGATCTTTTGGTCTCCTTAATCCTAAAGCATGCATGCCATTGGTTTTCTTCATGAGAATCAGAGTATGAATGTTTTACTGAAGAGGAAACAATAAAAACCTTCCAATCTGTGTTCTATGTGAAAGAGGGAAGGCAAATTGATGAATAATCTGCTCCTTCCCAGAAGGATGATATTTAGAGTTACTTCAAGTTAATGGAGTTATATCCAGTTGTCATTGGATATTGTTGACCTGTAGTCTAGTGGCACATCATTCTTGTTGACAGGAGCAAATCTTCTGTCCTCATTCTTCATTTGCTATTGTTTGGTGTGTTTTGAAGGCAAGAAAGAAATATTTCAAAGGTTACTGTCTCAAAGGTACTATGAGGGAGTGCAAGTTGATTGCTTGGTCCTCTTAATTGTCAAATGTTGATATCATGGTTGATAAGGAAGCCTCCTTGAGGTCTTAATACTTTGAAGTTTAAGCTTGAGGGTTGGCCTTTGGGTAGCCCTGGCCCTTTGCAATTGCTAACATATAGATTATAAAGCCATGGAGGTCAAAGTCATTTCCCCCTCTTAGGTCTGATTGGTAACTGCAACTCTAGCAAGATTGAGACAACAGTCTTCTTGAACTTGATGTTTTAGACTTTCCAAAACTTAAATTTTCTTAACTTGGCAGCGGAATGGAACTTTTAGTCTTACCATATATTGGACGACAGGTGGAAACTAGGGTCTTGTGAAGGGTTCCATATAAAGAAGCCATTACCCAATGTTGGTCCTAGCTATTGGGGTCTTGGGAGAGGTACACTGGATGCAAAACCTATCTTTTGGCAGTATTTTTTGTACGAACTGGGCACTGTCAGATTTGAACCTGCATTCTCATGCTTGTTAGTCTGAGATTTTACCATTACATGAAGCGATGGTATGGTCCTTAGAAGGTTTCTACACTATCAGAGTAAGTTTGAGATGTTTGTCTTTGCACTTCTTTCCCTTCAGCGCCAAAAAGTTAAGCTAAATGATTTGGATGAAAGTGCTGAGACATATCTTTAAGATGTTGATGTATTGAGAGCTTTTAATTTTATAGATATTTAAAACTTTAAAAATAGTTACATTTTTTGCGTATTTATAATTTTAGTGATAAAATGTGCCAAACTTTTTAAATGAGAACGCATTAAGCATGCAAATGAACATTTATCTTTTCCATATTCCTTGCTCAGTTTCAAATTGTACACAAGCGTTTCCCCTATTATATTCGTGATGTACATGTATTTACTAACTATGCTCTTAATCCAAAAGATGAATCCAATATTAGAAGTTTCCTGATAAACTCAAATCCTCTGACCCCCAACCCACCTAGCAAGACCATTAGCCAAAGGGGCAGTCAAACTCCATTTAATGAAATGTTCAATTTGGATGCTGAGGATCTAGCATCTATAATTTGATTATGTAATGAACTGGGGCCATCTGATCCCTCTTGCCTCCAGCTGATGACAATCTGAAAGTCCCTTGTTACTATGTCATATTGAAAAAAGAAAATGAAGATAGAGGTTGACATCTGAGTTTTACATGTTAATTTCTACCTACTAGATAATAAACTCCTATAGTTATATATTGTCAGATCAAACATGCAAAAGGAAGAAAAGAGAACTGAGCAATACAAAAACAATCTTCAGAGAACAGGTTAATTAGATCATAATCAGAAAAATCTTGAGGTTTTTAACTAAATTTGGGAAATATACAACAGCCCTCAAAGAATTAGTTAATTAAATTAGAGGCAAAAAAACTCTTAAGTTCTTAACTAACAAATAAGAAATATTCCACTGATAAAAATTATTTTAGGAAATGTATTTCGCACCAATTGGTGTTAATTAACTGTAAGAAACAAAGGCCATTCAGGTGTTGGGGAAGGTAGAAATGATGAGCCACCGTTTTGATTTTCTCAGGTCTGAAAGGAAACAGGGACCCTTTCAGAGCATTGGTTTTATTTCTATTTCTAGGGTTTAAAACTATCTAGTCCCAAGGCTTTGGTCTGTTGGAGATTGAAGGAGACTTTGGCAATGTAATTGGGATGCACTAAAAAGATTTGCAGGGGGCCTTGGGGCTAGCTTATGCTTTTATGGTAGAGGATAATTTCTAGGTTGAACAGCTTTTCCACTTGGATTCCTAGTTTGGCCAATGATTTGGTGAAAAGCGTTGGTAAAAGTGGAGTGGTAGGGCTGCCTACCATATAGGATGGCATTATTGTTGTAATTCTATCCTTTCCATCCTACACTCCATTTCCTTGAATTGTAGTCTGGGCTTGGACTCTTCCCTCTCTTCTTTCTAGTTAATTTTACTTTTAACTCATAGATAAAGAAAATCATTCAATTAGGTCATGAATCTTCCTCCAAAATTCCTGTTTCCTTACTTCTTTAGGGCCTCCAGTTCAGTGGTTTGCTATGCCATTGCCTTTCAGAGTCCTGTAAATTCTTGCCGTTAGTTGGTTTGCATTTTCATAGTGGGTGTGTTTCTGGTGGTGCAATTTGACATGAAATTTCTTTCATTGTGCATGTAAACTTTTGGGTCCTTAAGGTCTAAATTAAATTTGCAATTCATTTTCAGGAGTCCTTTGACACTGATTTAGTATAGGAAATGCAGCTTCAATGGTGAATCAAATATCTTGTGGTAGTGAGCAGAGTGACTCAGCAGTCCAGAAGCTAACCTCAGATACAGTCATTGAGGTAACTTTTGATATTTATGTAGGTTGAGGTTGTAATGTGGTGTACGATTAAATGGACTCTATTGCTCCCAACTTTTGACATTGCTGTATCATTATGTCATTCAGGTTACCATTGATATTCCATTTCCATTTCAACCAATTCCAGTGGGAGTGATTGAATCAACTGGAACTCAAGTCCTTGAACAAATATTGAGGATAATGCTTCCCCGGTTTATGACACAGGTTGGTGAAACTTCTAGAGATTTCTTGCTTATTTTCTTACCAATTTCATGATGATTATTTCTAGTGATAGACTTTTAGCTCCTTAATGTAAAAAAAGTCATTACCCAATATTGGTCCCAATGAGGAGGGTCTTGGGAGGGTGGACTGGATATGGAGATCAGCTTTGGCATTCTAGTTAGTTACCGAAGATTTTACCATTGCACTAAGCAATGACCCCTTACTATGACATGAGTGAATGTAGAAAAAAAATGGATAATGATGAACCTGCAAATTCAACTTATCAAAATTATATAAGCACATTATGACGGGAGAAGTGATGGGTAAAGAAGGTGGTTCAGATTTGAGAAGTTAGGAGGAAGGGATGGATTATTGTGGTGTGTTGATGAGAATCTATGGTGAAAGTGTCCCAGATCTGAGAATAGAACAGAGGTATGTTCAAAGCAGATAAAAAATGGAAGAGGGGGTAGGGGGAGGGGAGAGAGAGAGAGAGATAGAGTCTCCAAGGAATAATTTTTGAATCCACTCATCCCCCAATCCATGAGATTACCCCAAACTTATAACATTGTCAACAAGTATAAATGAGTTATGAGATAACAAAAGAAAAGTATAAATGAGATACATCTTGTACTTCTCTGTCTACTCTAAAACTTGGGTCACCTTCCTCTCATCTGCCATTCTTTATTAGTCAGCTAAGAACTTCAGTCACTAAATTAAATGGCAAAAGGGATAATGTGTCTCCTTGTCTAAGCCCTCTTGGAACCCAGAAGAAACCTTTTGGGAAAAGCAGGGGTACTACTTAAATCGTAGGTAAGAAAATAAACACATTTAAAAATAATATTAAAAAATCATAATATATATAAAATATAATATTAATTATGTGAGATGTGTCCATGAATCCTACTACTCTTTTTGGGTTTGCCAAGTTGGACTCCCAGACATGTATCACATTCCGAGTCTCCGACTCTTATGTCTGAATCCATGCAACCTTGCTTTGTAACATTTGAGTGAAGAGTAGTTTAAAGTTTTTAAAGTCAGGTGGGTTCATGAAGATGAAGGAAGGACACTTAAATAAACAGTTGAGAGAAGGGGAGGTTTTAGTGAACCCACTTATTCATATTGACCAAAATGATTTAACCATAACTGAAATAGACAATACCAGGTGGCAACCCACGGTTAAAATTACTACGGTCTCCTATAAAATTTTCTTTTTACAAACGTCTGATGCATATATGCTGCATTTCTGTTTGACAAAGTACTGGAAAAAACTCAGATTCACCGATCATTTTTCCCTCGTTCCGTTAATGTTGGTCTATGATCTTTGCATGCTTTATCAATCCCATTAAAGCATTCCCACCATTTATTTATTCATACTATCGTTCATGTTACCTGATGCTGCACGATCTGGGCGCTCCTACCTGGCTGTGACTTGGCTTCTGGTTGGAACGGACGACACCTGAGAGGAAGGAGAAGGTGAAGGGTTCCCGGGGAGTTCTCCCGGTGGGAACACTCCAATGGCTAAATTAGAACTTGAGAAATCTCACAGAAAGAACAGAGAGTAAGAGTGTTGAAAATGCTTAAGCTTCAATACCTTTGCTTCGTGAGGATTGGGGTTCTTTTATGTCGGAGCTCGGTCACACCTGGCATAACCGCCACTGCCCTAGTCGTTACTGCCAGGGCAGGTGTTGCAAGTGCAGGTTGCGGCTACAGACTGCTATTGCCAGGTACGGACTCGACAGACGCGTCACGCTTTTCGGAGACAACAAACAGAACGCCGCCTGGCAAGCAGAACACCGCCTAGCAAGGGATCAGAGCCCTGCCACTGGATCCGGCAGGTACGGATGTTAGGCAGGTTTCCTTGCAGCCTGCCGAGCTATTGTATGCCAGACCACCTGGGGCAGGTTTGTCTCGGCACCGAGGTGCCTGCATTGGAGGCAGTGCTGCCCCGAGGTGCTTCTCCCTCGGGACACTTAGCCAAAAATCGGGGTGCCCCCTTCTTAGGAAGGGAGAGCTCGGAGCCCCTTAGGAGGAGCTCGGGCCCTAGGAGGAGCTCGGGATCTCCTACACTTGGTGGGAGTCAAGGTTGGCCAGGTGTTAGTCCCCGACGAGTCGCTTAACCCGCCGAGTGGCCAGTGTTGGACTCGGCGTGTCTCTCCCGTCGAGTCGCGGTTGTGCTGTCAGGGTGGGCTGTTCGTTGAGCCAGGTCACGCACACGTGTCCCTGTGCTACGAGGTCGGGCCAAATCACCCTCCATCAATTGCCCCCACTCCCCGTGCTGGGGGTGGTGACCCAACGCGGGGAGTTCATGGTGTGCCGGGTGGATTTGGCTCGGTACTTATGCTACCCTGTCGGGCAACTCGTTGGCCAGACCGGTCTGGTGTTCGGTTCACTCGAAAGGAAAAACCTGGGTTGCGTACAACTTACGCGCGGACGCCACGCGATATGAACTTTGCGGATGCCAAAAAACGCGCTAAACTGATTTTGCCTTGAGAGTCGCAGCCGGTTTTCTTGAGGACCGTCAGATTGCTTTGATCTTGATCGTTGGTTCTCGGGCTCAGCGGCTATAAATAATGGGGGACCCTGGTCATTTTCTTTTGCCACTAAGTATCTTTTGTCTAGCTTGAGCTCACGTTTGGAGTCTTCAGCTCGGGTCTTCTAGTTTGTTCAGTTTTAGTTCGATTGTATTTTTCCCGGTGAGTCCCCGAGCTTTCCTTTCTCCTTTTTTCAGTTCATTTCATTCTATGTCTAGCGGGGACAGTCTTTTAGACGAACCCGAGGTGTGTACCTCGGGTCAGGGTGACCCTACTGTTGCCCGGCCTTCTCACGAGGCACGGGTGACCTCGGGTAGGCTGGCGTCCACCTCCCGCCGAGGTCAGGTGCCAGGTCAGTTCGGTCCATCTACTATGACGCTGGAGAGGCTTCAACACCTCATCCAGCACTTCAACCTGCCTCAGGGGTACTCATATAGTCTTCCTACCGGCAACTTCCCTTGGGAGCATGATCCGAATGAGATCGTGATCTTTAGGGAGCAACTCGTTGGCGGGCTTCGTCTCCCTCTTCACCGCCTTATTCCCGAGGTGTTGAGACGCTTCAACATCATGCTGGACCAGCTCCACCCAAACTCTATTCGGAACATAGTCGGGACTATCTCCCTTTGTTCCGCACATAACTTTCCCTTAGACGCAGACATCCTTTGTTCCATTCTATTAATAAAGAAGAGCGCCTCGGGCGTTCCCCCCGAGCGCGGGCGGACCTACTATCTGTCCCCTCGCCCGGGGTTCAAAATGTTACATAAATTCCCAAGCAAGGTCCCGGCCTGGAAGCGGGACTACTTTGTAGTCCGGAGTAGCACGGGGTGGCCCTTCCTTACTAGCTGGAGGGTGGCTACCCAAGCCCCCAGCATTACTCTCGACCGGAAGACGAGGGAAACATTCCACTCATGGGCTCAGGTCAGGTTCGATCACAGGGATTATATTGCTGAAGAGAAGCTCATTTAGGCCGGTTTGAGCTCGGGTAGGTCTATTTCTACTTTAGTGTCTTGCTTAATCAGCCAAGTGTTTTCAAGCTTACTGATGCCGAGCTCTATTGCAGGTCCATGGAGGAAGAAAGGATTACCGACCCGAGGCTCCTTCACCAAATGAAGAAGAGGAAAAAGCGAGCCGCTAAGAAGGCGCGCATGGAGCCCCCAAGTACCCCCGCCCCTGAACCCGACCTCCCGCAGGTCCCTTCTTCGGGGCCCGAGCTCCCACAGGCTCCCATCTCGGGACCTGAGCTCCCTAGTGCCCCTCTAGTGATAGATTTGGAGGGGGACTTGCCATCTCAGGAGCCTGGAATGGCGGCAGAGCCGGTCATTGAGCCAGTTGGGGCTGCCGCCGAAGTTCCTAATCCTGCCGAGGTTGTTGCTGAGGCTTCCAAAGGATCGACTCATCATGCTGTAGAGACGGCGTCATCCAGCTTGGGGAGCTAGGAGGAGGAGAGCATCCTGAACCCCCAGGTCAGCCTTGAAAGAAATAAAGGGGCTGTCATCTCCGCAGAGGTTATAGACTGGGCTGAACTCACCCCTGGTCAGCTCGGGGCCCGCGCTGCAACCCACGCTATGGTGGTGAGTTCGCACTCTAAGGGTCACCACTTTCCCATTCTTTCGTTCTTTCCTCTCTGGTATTGACCGACTTCCTTTTGCCAGGTGAACACTGCTGTGCACGCGTTGGCCTTTCAGTCTGACAAATACCTGAGGCGCGCTTTGGCTGCTGAGGAGTTATCTCGCACAGCTCATACTGATCTGAGGGTAGCTCGATGCAAGATTCATCAGTTGGAAAGTGATGCTACAGCTCAGAAGGGTTTTATTGAAGTTTTGCTATCAGAGAAGGAGGAGCTAGCCCACGAGAGGGACATGCTGAAAGCTGAGGTGAACGGGCTTAGAGCAGGCCAGGAGGCCTTAAAGCTCGAGGTGGAGAGCCTCAAGGCAGGTTAGAAGGCTTCGTAGCTCGAGGCACAGGCGCTTAAGGAAGCCAAGGGGGTCCTGGAGCACGAGGTGGAGTACCTCAAGGCTGACATTAAGGAGAAGACCGAGTTCTTCGATCAAGCTCTCAAGGAGACGAAGGTCCAAACTGTCATCGACTACGTCAAGTCATCTAAGTTTGACGATGTGATGTCGCAGGTCTACCGTAGGGGGTTTAAGCTCAGCAGGTGGTTGATAAGGCATACATACCCCGACCTCGACACAAGTGCCATCACCACCTGGAGGATCACAGACGACATGGCCCGCCAGGCCATGGATGACCCGGACTCCGAAGAGGAGGGCGGCGATGAGGAGGCCGGTGCTATCGACCTGGTTGACACCCCCGAAGAGGCTCCGAGTGAGGTCGATAAGCCCTCGAAGTAGTTGTGTGTTCCTTGTACCCTGGGCCTACGAGCTCAATTTTACTTTCTCCTTCTCTTGATCCCCTGTACTAAGGTTTTTGCAATGGAAACACATGTTGTGTAATGAGAGTGCATATTTTGTT